AATGAGTAATTCTATCAGAAGATTTAATGAGACAGAGGAAAAAAGAACTATAATACATACAATTCAATTTTAGTTCTCATCTTTTTTTGTACTAATCAAGGATCCTTATTTATTTTCCAAAAACAAAAGCTGAGGACATTTCTAAATTTTTTATTCGAATCAACGCACGAAGGAGAAAAATATTCAGAGCAAAATATTCGGGAAGACATCTATACGATAGCTACAGATGTAAGTCGCATTTATTATTTAGATGCAATAAAATTTGGATATTCAAGAACGTACATACATATTACACTTTCTTAATTATTTGTGATTATTTATTGTAGATTGTTGACGAGAGCGTTTTTAAATGCGCGTCTCGTACCGGACCAGCGATGACCTCGATTCATCCAGAGGAAATGTCCCCCGTCTCGTCCTTGTTGACCGAGCTATAGACTCACTGGTCACAATGAATAAGGGCGGCGGCACTAGGTTAGGATACCGTTGTAGGCCGTCAGCAAAATATCATTCGCCGCGTTCCCGCAAATTAATAGTAGAACGAGTGTTCTTTTAAAGGATCCCGTGAGAAATGGAGAAGTAATTGCGCGATATTAAATGGTGCGTGCTAAGTAAATCTCACCGTGTATTTGATTAAATGAGTTACAATTGTTTGTGTGTCTTGTGTATGATGTGTAGTTAGTTGTACTACTTGCTTCTGAAGGAGGCTTGAGAGCTTAGATGTTTTGAATCTGAAAGATGTAACTTGACTGATTTTTTGGCCTCTTTAGAACTATCCAAGCAGAAATTGGTAAAGGCCGAAGTTTGAATATGGAAAGGGAAAGAATAAATGCCCATTGGTCGGGGATAATTTGTTGGAATGTTTAAACATTCCGTATGTGCTTCCTTTGTTCTAATGATCGTGTGATTAGAGTATGACGATGGATATTACCTAGACAAAAGCCAGATAGCTCTTGGCTTATTGCGCTTAGGTGTCTACTTTCATTATTTACTTATTGGCCGGATTGACATATTATCAAATCCCAGATACTTTATTAAGAATGCCTAGGCCTAGACAAAGGTGGCCACGCGTTTTTATCTATGCATTTTGTTAGTTAATACCCAATAGGTTCCCAATTAAATATTTCCAATGGTGACATATAACCAACCTGTAAAACAAAGTGTAAATATTTCCAATGATGATATATAACTCTTAAGACAAAGTGCCGCGAACAATGGAGAGACGTACGTATGCGTTAACATTTATATAACGGAAATAATTTTCATATTAACTTCTTATCATCCTTTTCACAATTTCGATCAGAAAGGATACGAGGAACTGAACCAAATCTACAGTTCGAACGATCTGAAATATGTTCCAATAACATATGATGATATTAAAAGTATAAAATTGTTGGAAAGAGTGATCAAGGAAACGTTCTCTTTTTTCTCCAGGTCTAGTCATCGCTCGGAAAGTAAAAAAAGATATAGAAGATATCTCTACGTATAAAATTAATATTATTTAATAATAATATTTATTTATTAATTAAAGCAAGTTACAAAAAATTGGACTATACCGAAAGGGAGTCCTATAAATTCTATCGAGACGAAAAATATTCGACCCAGTCGTTACTATTCAATGCGGATAAGTTTCTACCAAGTATGAGTACTTTATCAAAATTCTTACTATTCAGCTACGGAAGAAGACATTGCATAGGTAATTATATACTCATATATTATTGTAATAGCATACCATAAATTTATAGAATAAAATGCATTTATAAATGATTTTATTCTTTTCTTTAGATAAAAAATTTGCTACGCTAGAGATGATAATAATAATTGTTACACTGGTAAGAACAACTATAATTAAAATAGATTAGCCAATAGGAATTGAAGAAGTTGGAGTAAATTTGAAAGTTAAAATCAGCGGAATCAATAAAACTAAAATTTGAAAGAGGAAATTAATTAAAATATATACATGCATAACGAATTCTGTGCGTGTTAATCGGTAGCAGAAATAAATTAATAATTGTATTAAATAAGTATTGTATAAAAACCGTCCACCAGAATCTGATAATTTCAAGATCACTTTTACACTAATTTCGAATTTCTTATAAAATAGTGAAAACTTAAAATTGCATTCATATAGATTTTCTTCTCTATGCTTTTTTTTACCTTTAATTAAAACTCGGGGGTGGGGAGTACTATTCAATTTTAGAAATTCACTAATGAGCGAATCATATCTAAGTATATAGAATATATTAGTATATATAATAAACCCATAAAACTTCTTTTCCATTTGTTTAGGAATTTGTTCGCGTATTGTATCTTACAGAAGAAACGTGTAAATATGTACAAGACAAGCCAAATATTCATAATTCTCTCTTTTTATTTATAAATATGAAAAGGAGTAGCCAAATCAGTACGTGTATTAGTTACAATGACTTAGACTGTGAGGGCTAATTCATAAGTGTGTGATATGATATGAACAAAGTCATTATTATAAGCATTGTAATAAAATAATGATAGAAAACTGTCTAGAAAGATGTAACCTTCATACTGAAATTTATTACAATGCCAAAACATATATTGCCCAAGATTAAATGTAGCTGTCTTCATAATGTCTGATCGGATCAATAAATTAAGATATATTTATCATAATACACAGTCATTCTGGTCATTTTTCACAATGGTCGAACACTATAAATTAGTAAATCTGTTTAATCATTTAGCCCATGACATACATATATAATACTTTAATGCTATTTTTGTTATTGTAGGCGAGGTTCACACATAAGATTAAGTATATAATCTTTAATAACTTATTGTTATTTACACTTATGTGTGTACAACGTCGCAAACGAGATATAGGTAATATACTTGAATTTTTTTTCATTCGCGTGCCGATAAAGAGAAAGCGATTTTTCTTATTGTCTTCGCATTTCTCATGTTGTTCTTTTCTACGGTGTCTACTCACTATCTAATATATACACATTTAAGTACATATATTTATCCTTCAAATATATACCTCCCTCAATCTCACAGTTATGTTATTTATGTTAAAGTACTAAATATTACATCTAATTGCGGGTAAGTACATATATATATATATATATTACATATATAAGAAATGTATTTTCCAAACGTATGATTTTCATAAGATAAGATTTTTATATGTCATATCTATTATCTCATTATATGTCATCCCTCAAATTTCGTCATGATAGGCCATCAATACCTACGGAACTAAAGCCGAAATTTCTAACAATAATTCCTTCAAAAAATCAGATTAATTATTACCAATGGCTAATTTTAATGTTTAGTTACAATTAATTATTAAATTATTAATAGAAACTAAACAGAGACAAATTATGAAATTTTAATTACTAATAATAAAGGATTAATACATAATTGAATACTAGCTTATACATCTTCTGTATTAAACTTTTTTAATCTGATAATCTGAAATAGTAATTAATACAAACTGATTTGAAATAATTATTATTTATGTATGTTTTCATTAATACAAAATACAAACGATAAGAAGAATACAAATCTATTGGGTCCTTCAATCTTCGGTTATGTGCATACGTTTGAAAATTGAACGCGATGTTCAGGTAGTGATCTTACTCTAAAATCGCCTAATTCAAATATGTTAATATTATTCAAATAACAATCATAAATATTGTTGACTCATATTAATTAATTACTTAATAATTAATTGTTAACCGATTATTAATGATTTAGCAATGATTAGATCTAAATACTGTATAAACTTCTTATTTAAATAATTAATTATTTCGTTTTTGTAAGGATATTCATCATCCCTAGTTTTACAATGGTTTACGCAAACAATGAAAACAAACGTATTTCTTGACCAATTTAGATATAGAAGACCTCATTTTAAAGAAGAATGTTTATGTATAGAACTCACTTTTTCGAATTTTTGCAAAAGCTTTATTTTCTTTGAAAAAAATTGTGTTAAAAATGATGTTCTTTCTAGAATAGTTTATGCAGAAATATGAAGCTTTTTCAAAAATTTCAAACAGTGGGGTCCTAGATTAAACCTTCATTTCCAAAATGGGGCTTTAATTAAGAAATATGCTTGTTTTCATTGTTCAATTGCTATTTCGACATTTTTTGAAAAGAAAAAGTTTTGTATATTGTCCTCCCTGTGAAATCTGCACCAAAAGAGAAGTTCATACCTCCACGACTGATTTTCATATCTACACTGAAATGATTTGTTTCGGTTTAGTAAATGATAGCTCGCTTGTTTGTTTGCATAAACTGATGATACTAAAATTTTCTGAACGTTAAGAAATGCGTTTCACGATGTTCTTATGGAGAAACAATGGACATTTTCATGAACTTTCGATAAATGACTTTACGGCGAAAATAAGGAAATGCATGTTCAATCGTTCATGTCAATGGATCTGAATTTTTAAGATATTGTTAAATTTTAGAAAATTTTGTAGTTCCTTTTATATTTTATAAACTAAATCGTAGTTTTTATAAGCAATATGTGATACATTGACAAACATCTAGATTAATAATTCTGAAATCGTAGATTCTCTGAGGCTGAATGATTCCGTTGTTTCTTTTTCTTTTTTTGTTGTATCGATGTAAAAGAAAATAATCGACTAATTTATTCGTTGATTTTTTTATTTGATACTTAAATAGAACGTTACTATCCAATATTTTATATTTATTTCATCTACTGATAGTTGATGTGATCTATGTTGCCGATTAATTTTCGATTGATTTTCCAATAATAATAATAATTAGTGGTAGATTAAAGATCAAAATATGAGTTCGTTTCCACATTATCTACGGGGATTTTCTTTCAGCGCTACTTTTTATGGATTTCTCTGTAGGAGTAATTACTATTACTACTACTATTACTATAATAATACATAATATAACAATATAATAATAGGAAGAATAATAATAAGAAGGAAAAGTAAAAGAATATACTCACATTTATTACATGTCCAAAATTGTTTATTCTCGTAAAATTTGTTATCTTTCGATTCGTAATTCCGCGTATATTTTAGAAACACAACATGCTTAGGACGTTTAATTCGAGATTTTCAAATAGCTAAGTATCACCAGTGCTTTTACTATTATAATATAAAATAAGCATAATGTATGTAATATTTAAATACGTTTTTATTATTATTGATTTATAATCAGTAATAGACTACTATTACTACTAGTATATTTATAATCAGTAGTAGACTATTACTACTACTAGTAGTAATAGTAATAGTTGTACAATAGAACAATAGAAGTAATAGTTGAAATAGTATAGAGTGGAATAGTCATGAAAAGAAAATCACGTGAAAAATACGCTCATAGGTAGAGTGGAAATGAATCCATGTTTTAATTTACATTAAAATAATATAATATATAAGTTTTCACTACTTATTTTTGGCAAAATATTCTATAAAATCTTATTTTTTAACCTATATTTATATACTAATTATTATATTTAACAATTATATTTATTATTCTTTATGCAATTGCGGAACAAATGCGTACCAACGTCATATCTAATTCGAATCACTACAAAACCACCTAAAAGCGACCATCTAAAAAAGATCTACATTTAAAAGATTGAAAAATGTGAGGTCACGGCCTACTAACATTACCTATTCTATCCCAACCGAAACTCATTGATATGTTATGACCAATGCAAGCTTAAACAATAACCGGACAGACGCATGGTGGGGGACAGCCATCACCACTTTCACTTGTAGTTGATATTTTGTCCATAGTTGTCGCCGCAGTCAGGCACGCTGTGAAGGATGAGATAGATTTTTAAGGTTAGTATTTCTTTTCATTTTTATGGAGTGATGTGTTCTTACAGTCTTCAGCAATGGTACTAATTGCTTCTTCTATATCATATTATCCATTATTTATGTCGTTCATTTAATGAATCTTTCAGTAGGTTTTCAACCTTGAAACTAAAATTACCATGTTGAAGGTTTAATAAATGATATTCGTTTGTAGAAACTAAAATTAACCTCTAAATATGATTTTAATCGAAAGCTTTTAACACATCAAGAAATAAAGCGGATCAAATTATTTTTAAAGTAAAACATAACAAGTTGAAGAAGCTATTACTAAAATTACGGAACCTTTTCATTATATTATTCATTCTAATTAATTAATTGTAGTAATAGTACTACTTACTCTTAATAATTATTTTTATTAGCTATTATTATTTCCAAAACACATTTTAAACAGACATTTAGTAACACGTTTTTACTTGGTATATTAAAATGTGGAAAGGTCAAAAGATTTTTAGTAAGAATAATAATCCTGCAGAGAATTAACAAAATGTTTTGAAAGAAGTATCCTGTTAATTGGTAATATTCTATTATTGGTATATAGTTCATCAGTAAGCGAAATAGAATTTAATAAATATTCCGTCAAATAAATAATTCTTTTATTGCTTTTGTTAACCGCAAGTTTTTTCATTTATTCTTAATAAGAAAATATAAAATGATACTGACTGTATTATTATTATTAAGTGAAATATTTGCATCAAAAGTGTATCTTTTCTTTATTTTTAAATTATGTCAATGTATGACTGTACGTAATATGCAACGTTTCAGAATTGGCCAACCATTGAAGTTATTTCATTTAAGAATGAAAGACGTCGATCCAGAAATGTATCATTATGCACTGAATTATTACTATACTGAGGAAATGAACGCAACAAAGGAATATTCCATTGTGCAATAGATTGGACTGGCTTTCAATTGGTACGTACCAAGAGTTCGTGTTTTCATCTCGATTCTGACTTATGTTTTCGCAGGTTATTACTAGACCCTCAACGAGAATGTTGCCACGATAAGATCATGCTTCAACATCGTTCCATCCTCCATGATTACTGGATTTTTATTGGATAAGAACGGTTGTTATTTCTATAAAAATAGGAAAGAAAGATATCTTAGGATTCAAGAATATCATTCGATAATATGTATTCGTCAGTTAGTCGATAGTTTCTCGTCCGAAAGATTCATTATGCACGTAAAGATTGAGAAAAACAAGAGAACTATTCAAGAGATCATCTGAAGGGATATTGAAGAACATAGGTGCAGCAAATATGTATAGATGAAAGAGAATAAATTTATCTATCGAATCTGCTAGTCTAATAACAATCGTAGAGGTGGAGAAAAGCAGTTTATTACAAATAATGCTTAAGAAGAATTGTTTTGAAGGAAGAAAATTTTGTGGAAACTAATGGTAAGAAAGCTCATGTTTGTTCATTGTCATAGAGTTTTGTTTCGTCAATCATGCGGAACATATTTTCTGTTAATTGAATATGGAAATTGGTTTGTTTCATGGTGGTAGAACGATCGTTGATGAAAGAAGAATAAAATGCGGACCACGTTCTTGTATCAATCTTGCTATAGCAATCTATCCTTATACGTACGTTTATCTATTCAATGGACCAATTTAGCGGTAGACGCTTTGGTAAGTAAATGTGTCGTCGAACAGTACAAATATGAAGATGCCTGAAAAACAAAATAATCATCTTAAGGATCCGTCAGTTAAAGTTTCTATATTTCCAGTTTCCAAGCTTTTTATGGAAAAGAACAAAAAATCCACATGCTAAAGCATCAACGAAGATTCTAGAGATTAATATTTATTATAATGATAGTAAGAAGCGTAAACCAAAACATTGACTTATTTGAGATTTTTTTTTTGGCGATAAGTTGAAAGGATAAGTAATTAAATTTATTGCAATACTAATTTCAGATGTTTGATTAACTAATTACTTATTATACTATGATCAAAAGCTCGATCACTGAATCTAATGTCTATAGCATTAAACGGTGATAAAATTTTCATTAGTGAACTCGATATTTTTTTTTCTATTTTTTTTTTTTTTTTTAAGAGATCGGTATTATTTCTTAAAAACGTTTTTCTTTTCGATAGGTCTCAGTGTGGCTTAGACATATTCGAAGGATATGCCGATTGTTTATTTCGACAAAATTTACGGGTAGTCGAGTTAAAAGAACAAAACGAATAGATGATTACCGGGTTGTATTCTCGAATGTCTGAAGGAGGAATGAATTAAAGAGTCAGCTGAATCAATTATTTAACATGTATGATACGTCCAGTCATTAGAAACTAAATAAGAACTAGTTTTATTAATTACGTTTGAACCTTTTTAACATTTAATAAAATAAAAGTTGTTATCAACCAGAAAATTAAAATCGCATTTCTTCAATAACTATCGATTTAAAATGGAAAAATGATACCGTTGTAAAAAGAATAAAAAGGTGTTTCAAATGATATGTCTCCCGGCCCCTTTTGCCGTTTAAAATTTTTGAGGCGGTTGTCATTTCCTTAAGGAGTAAGCCTAAGGAAAAATGCATTTATGATAAGGACCTATTCTCCTTGAAGACCATCTAAACTAGATATGACGTTTTCTGAAAAAGTCATTAAATTTCATAATAATCCTGATGGATTCTTTACATTTGGATATATATGTAGGTTACATATGGTGACTGATATCTTTCCATTTTTCTCATTTTGTTTTTCTTCTTATCTTTGTGTGTTATATATGAACTTGTTCTGTTATTAAAAGTATTTTATGTTAATGATTTGTATCAACGTAAATACAATATATAATGTGCCATATATAAAGCATCCATAAGTTATTAAAGTGAGATAAGTTAGTCGTCCTAAATGTTTACGATTTCTAATAAAATTTTTTTGTGCGATTTTGAGAGAAAGGAGAAGGACATGTAAGTTAACAATATTATTGGAACAATAAACAGAAAAATATTCATTATTGCATAATTCTGTTGAGTTACCATGTGTAATACGTCGAATCGATATAAATAATTGATATGAGAAAAATAATTCGAGATGACTTGCTTCAATTATTGATCATTACGTAAATATGTATGATAATTCATATGTAATAATCACATATATATGTTACTCCTTCTTTCTCTTATTTCATCTCTTTCTCTCTCTCTCTGTCCCCCTCTTTCAGATCCACCACCTATCACTCATTCTTTTTTTCTCTTTGTCACCTTTTCTCGTTCGTCGCATAATTGATTTCTATTTCCGATTGCTTTATTCTATAGCTTCTTTTATTATTCAGAACGCATTGTTATAAAATATAACATTAATAAGTGGAAAAATTTGAATAAAGAATTTAAAAAACAAATCATATACTTTTATAGATTCTTTTACCTCTATTAATTATATGGAACTGTCATTAGAACAATCATATCGACTTCTTAAGGTGAGACGAAAATATCCTCTGTACAAATCGACCGTCATCACTGGCCATTTCTAACGGCCGTAAAAATGTCTCTATTTAAATGCCTGCTGTTCATCGACAATCTATATTACAATTACACGTTTTATTAGGAATATCTAACGAAAATTCCTGTTTACCGATTTTCGATAAAGTAGATATCTTTTTTTTTCTTTTATTTTTTTATAATAGAGTAATGATGAAACATTTAATCACTATCGATTGATGATAATGTATCAGTCAACAACAAAGAAATCTTCTTTTGAACTATGTTGGTAAACAGAGCCCTTTGCTATTAATTATTTGTTAATTATATACTTACTTCATCAATAGTCAGCAAAGTAGATTCCTATTTATCCACCAACCTATACCGAAGTTTCTTTATGGTAACTTTCTGTAACGTAGATTTCTTTATATCAAAAACCTTGTAGATTTTTGCTTTGTCATCATTCGATATTAAGATACCTATCGTACATAAAATTATATATTCCATGTTCCATTATGATTTATAAATATAATATAATTAAATATTCCATAATTTAAATTTATTTTTAAATTGTGTAATGTATATACGTATGGAATCTTCTGTCTACTCGTGTTAGTTCCTGTTCTAAACGATCTACAACATATTGTGGTAAACAATAAATCGAATTTACTTTATTCAATGCATAATCAGTATGCATTAACGATAATGCAGCAAGTCCAAATAATGTATGAATAATATCAGTGATATCATCACATCTATAAGCAAAGCTTTCACTATCAATATCTTGACACGTCAAAACGTTATCTACCTATAGTACAAGAAATGAAGATATTTGTATATGGTAGAAGTGCCAACACGTACCTTTAAAACATTATTTTTTAATTACACGTTCAATGTCATACAGTTCAGCCGTGAAAAGCTTTCAACTTATCTATATCGTCATCGACCACACAGACTTTCATCTGTTCATTCGCTCGACACTCGATGTTCGATATTGCTGAAGTAAAACATTCGATGTGCTCTCCTATACTCATGCCTAGTGTTTTATATGTTATGTAATCATGCTCTTCTCTCTTTCACACATGTCATCACACACGTGTACAATTGTTTAGAGTACGGGGCAACGAACTTCGTCTAGTCCAAGGGCGCTTGGAAGTTGCACGTGGACTAATACTCATTCTGATCGCTATCATAGTTTACATTTACATTTATATATTATACAAATTATATGCCATAAATTGTAGAAGTCGCATGTACCATGGATTTTATATTCTAAAGTCAATAAATTGCAATGCTAGAAATGAAGCTAATAATTTCCATTGTTAATAAGTTATATCATTAAAATAAATCGGTTAATAATAGTTGAAGAAATTCTCATAAAAATGAATGTTATGTTAAAGCCGGCCAGACCTGTAAGAATAAAATTTGAAAAAAGAATTAAATTTTATAATATATATAAATGTAATAAATATATTATTAATATATTATGTTTTTATACATAATAAATTCCGTACTTGACGACAGGTCTATAGCAGATGTAAATTATTAATCGTTCAATCTAGGAACTATAAAAAAACTATACACAAGGATCTCATGCAATTTTATATAATAAGTAATCAATGGATAAAGACTTTGATGATCATTCTTACTGTTAATTTCTAAATTCTTATAAATTAGTTTTTTTGGAAATTAGTAAAACTTCAGTAATGCATTCTTATAGATATTTTTTGTACATGCTCGATATTTGATACCAATTAACCCTTTCTCTACCTATAACATGTCGTCGGGCAATGTATTAATTTTCTTTTAATGAGATTTGAAATATTGGAGTCGGCGAAGTGTAACTATGTAAATGATCATTCCTGGAAACAGCAATACGAGCATTCAGTTCGTACTGATACTTTAACTATAGACTACTACATTCGACCCTATCACGATTGGCGGTAAATATATATTATAATGCCTCAATCAAGACCATTTTTTAAAAATTATACGGTCCAAATGATTATTTCATGTTCGTTATGACCGATACAATAGAATCCGTATGTTAAAACAAATTACATCTTGTTTATATATTTTACCTTTTAGCAACCAATAAGAGAAATCGTAAAAAAGATACTTAATGAATTAATGAAGTATTTCTGTAAGTACTTTCTGAAAGTATATACTGAAGTATTTCTGAAAGTACGCAACATCGTATAAATCTAATTACTCAGTTGAAAAATGGAATAGAGTGGGAGCAAGAGGAAAAAAGAAGAAGATAGTGAGGATGATGAAGTGGTAGAGGGAGATAGAGTGAATGATAGAGAGAAAGAGAAAGAGTAAAAGGTTGTACGTTGTGAAGAAGGAAAAGGAGACAGAAAGGGGGGATATTTATAAGCAATTATTAAATCATAATTCATATCATATAGCTTTCTCATGATCAGCGGTTATGTGTTGTATCTATTACATTTTAAGCCTTGGTAGAACTAAATAAAAAGAAATGGTTACTTGTTATTCTTATACTTATTATTTTATGCACTCTCTTTCTCTCTCTTTCACGCACACTCTCTAAGAAAAATCTACAGAGGAAATCATACGAAAATGCAGTTCGACCGTATTTTTATCTACAAAGTTGAGCGAAACGAAAAATATTGAACCGAAATGTTAACATTCGATCCAGACGGATTTCAAATCGTCGAAGGTAATTGATGGAATTTCTTAACATTCAGTCAAGGAGAAATAAATTACACAGGTAATTACACATTTTTATAGATTATTGAAATTACATTTCAAAAAGTTATAGAACAGAATTATACTTAAAAATTAAATAGAAAAATAATTATTAATTATTTAATAAACATTATTAAATAATAATAATAATAAATAATAATAATGTCATATTTCTTTAAAATTCGAATATCTGCACTAAGAAATATTGTGTTCTTTTTGGACAAATTTCACAAAGATTCAGACGAATGCCGTTCAATATCCTCAAGCTGAGAATCTCTAAGGAAAATTTTTAATTAAAAAAGTTATTCGTGTCTATTCAATTTCAGGTTTATCATTAAAATGGTGTTCTTGTTATTGCTCGGTTTTATCAATATCAAAGTATTAAGTTTCCGACTACGTGAGCAACTACAAAATTTATATCGGAATATTCGAATAATTGTTTAATCACCGACCAATACTGAGATATCTGATGTTCTAGCAGAGTTATTAGCACTATCTTGCGAATTAAATTTTTAGAAAATGTACGAAAATATATTCTTCGAAACTCTTGACTAAAATATTCTTTTATGAGAAAACTCTAGTACAATAATACAATTCAAAAGGTTACTTGTAATCGATTTGATGATCCTCTTTACAAAGAATTCCGAGCCTAGCGCCTAGTGTAATGTCATTGCAACCAATGAGTCTATGATATTTGTCTCAAATTTCTTAATGATTTATGCCATTATAAGAACAGACATAATTCTTGACCAATTTTGACGATCACGTTCTCGATTTCAAAACAAGTTTACTGCATATCTTTTCCGAATTTTGGAAAGAACTTTTCGTTTACGCATAAATAATCATCGAATAAAAATAACATACTTTACACGATTTTTTTCGAAGATAACTTTTCGAAAATTCAATACATTGGATTAAATCTTCGTCCTTAAAATGACAACTTTTCTCAATTGTTCAAGAATTACTTCTATCTTCATCGACGGCGTAAATGCCGTTTTCTACATTTTTCGAAGAAAAAATTTATTACTGTGATGTTTGTTCATTATATTTATAGATTAAAAATATAGAGATTATGTAAGCAATGTGTAGCACATTTGCTAGGATTTAGATTAGTAACACAAGAAATCATACGTTCAATTCTAACGAAACTAATGAACTAATTTACTTTCCCCTTCTCCTTATTTGATAATTTAGTAAGGTGTTACTATTCAATCTCTTACAATTCTGTACATTTCTTCCACTAATAACTGACGAGAATTTCGCGGTGATCCGTGATAGCATATATATGTGTTATAGCAACAGTATAATTTTGTTGGATTAGATATGAATATTAAGTATATACATTTGTCGATTACTTTTTCAGATTTAATGAACATATATATCATATATTAGTGAACGTATATATTATATATTATTTTTAATAAGGATCAAAACTCAAGGTTTTTTCCAGATTATCTGCGAGATTTTTCTCCCAGCGTTATTTCGTTATGGTTTCTTCTGTGTGAGTTCACTTTATATTATTTCAGTTACTACTACTATTATTATAGAAATAATAAAAAGAAAAATATCATAAATAGAAGAATATATCTATATTGAATACATCATGACAAATATGATGGCGGTAATTTATGATACATAAAAGAAGAGGAAGTGTTTCATTTTACGTGATATCTTTACAGTATAAAATAAGAATTGTAAAAAAATTCCAAAGGATCTGATTATTTCATAAGATACTATATAATATATGATCAACGGATAAAGACATTGAAATACATATTTATAAATTCTTATAAATTAATTTTCTTACAGTTTAGTAAAAATTTAAAAATGCATTCTTCTAGATTTATAATACCTTTTCAATTTTTAATATCAATTAAACTTTTGTCTACATTCACACAATTAAAAGAGAAGTATATATGAAAACTTAAAACGAATAAACATTGGATTTATAACATATTCGTCATTCCAGTGAAGAATTAATTTACAACCGGTTTATAACAATTTTCAGTCATCGCATTTCTTGTATTAATATGAAGTGGGGGCAGAAACAAATTTTGGTGTCATCTCCGATCTTTCTAGACTGTTCTTGTCCAATCAAAAGAGAAATGCCAGATGTAAACGGTAATCACGTGAGCAAAGTATGATTTATGGTATCTTTAAATATTCCTCGCTTTCCTATTCCATCCTCAGTTTCTGTAAGAATAGAAATGTAGTAGGAGTCGTTGTGCGGTGCTATCAGATTATCTGTAAATCTCAACTATTATTATTACGATTATAAGATTATTTTCATTATATTTAAGTAGTTTATATATATTCTTATTGATACAATTCATCATGTATTTCACTATAATATTAATTATTATTCTAACAATTTTATTTG